AGCAGTTTTACCACTTTGGGCAACGTTTGCCGCGTCCATGCAACACCAGCTCTGTGAAATCAGCTAATATCGCCTTAGTGTCCTCGTGAATGCAGATCTCCCCTGGCAGACTGCTGCGGGGTCCCAGGGACCCACAGGGCCACACGCCAACTCCAGAACTGCCCAAAACTTGGAAGTATCCCCAGTGCCCACCAAGAGTGGGACGGACACTCAGCACTGACACGGAGGCCACAGCAACCAGCCGCCACTGCACACCACTGCACAAGCGAGTTTAAAGCCGGGCGGCACAGGTGGAGAGGAGGTCCTGGGACCCCACGGGGTGCCATTAGCCGGGTGGCACAGGTGGAGAGGAGGTCCTGGGACCCCACGGGGTGCCATTGCTGCAGGCGGGGAATCATCTCCCACCACCTTCTTGGGTGGAGGCCTCCAGGCTGTGGACCGGGGCAGTGTGCGGTGAGCTGGTGAACATCCACTTCCCGTGTGTGCTTGGCCTTGTGTGTGCCTCACTGTGAAGTGAAGTTTACTGAAATAAATGGAAAAATTTAGAAGTTCTATCACTACCCGTCAAAACGTTTCAAAGTTTTTATTGCACTCAGAGCACGTCAAATGGGAAAAAATCACTCCCTCCCAAAGAAAGACGGACTCTCAGAGGCGGGAAAGGGATGTTTTCATTGACCAAACAATTACTGAGCAAGATCAAGTTTTAACTTTTGAAAAAGACAAAAATATACTCAACACAGGAGTGAACTGCCCAGACAAGTCCAGCCAGAGGTCGTCTCTCTTTAATGGACACAAATATTTTTAAATTAGGAATTAGGAGGCCCCTTTCAAACTTTCTGTGGGCCATAATTTACATTCTTCTGTCTTTAGATGTGTATTTATAGTGTAATAATTATCTAGCAAAATGGGCTCTACTTCCTGCAAGCTGGCTGCTCAGGAGGGAGCGAGGCTGCCCGTCCGCCTGGTGGTCATGAACCCTGGCTGCCTGCGGCTCCTACAGACTGTGGGACCTGTGCCAAAGGGGAGGATAGTGAGGGAACCCGCCCCACAGAAAGGCCTGCCAAGGGCTCTGGTCACCCCAAGAGCTTTGTCCCTCGAGATGTGGGCGAGGGGAGCACCCAAGACAGCCCCTGGCTCTGCTGCCCAGGCTGGAGTGCAGTGGTGATCTTGGTTCCCTGCAGCCCCATCTTCTGGGCTCAAACGATTTCCCCGCCTCAGCCTCCCAAGTAGCTGGGGCTACAAGTGTGCACCACCACGCCTGGCTAACGTTTTTATTTTGTATAGAGGCGGGGTCTTACTGTGTTGTCCAGGCTGGTCTCAAACTCCTGGGCTCAAGCGATCCTCCCGCCTCAGCCTCTCAAAGTGCTGGGATGACAGGTGTGAGCCCCCGTGCCCAGCCCCCCACACCCTCTTGGAAGACGTCTGTGCTGCTTCCGCCTCCCACTCGGGAGCTTCAGTGTTGCCGCAGCTATAATTGTTTGGTTCTTTTTCTTTGGCCTTAGGGCCCTTTCCTTTTCAGGAGTTTCAGTGGCAGCTGGTGTGTTTGGAAGCAGGTGTCTGAAGCCAGCGTTGCCGGTGGTGCCTGCAAGCTGCACGGGAAGCCGCCTGTTGTCTGCTTCTCAGGCCCGTGGCGACCCTACCTGCCCAGCCCAGCCCAGTCTGCTCAGGTCCTAAAGCTGGGCCTTGTCAGCAAGGCCAGTCAGCCTGGCCACAGCAAACAACCTGCCATGCAGCCTACACGGGGGCCGCTGCCTGCATCTATGGAGAGGAAAGGGGCAGGGAGGAAGGGCGGTGCCTGTAGGCGAGCACAGGAGCTCGATTGTTCACCCTGTCACAGCCGCGCCCACGCTATGGGGGCAGGTGCACCCCGTCCTTTGTCTCTGCCCACCCAGCAGGTGTGCTTTCAGATAAGCCCACATGCCTGGCACTCCTGAGTCAGTCACTGGTGGGCAGCGTCCAGGCCCCGCGTCCTGCTTCTCCCTGGTGTGGCCCCACCAGTGCCTCCCGCCCATGGGTACAGCAGTGGTGTGCAGTCCACACTGGCCTTCCCCAGACCCAGGTGGAACCAGCCCTGCCTGCATTTCTCCCTGGGTGTTGGGGGCCAGAGCACCCTTGTCGGTGGTGCTGCCCCCGACAGCCAGGCCAGGACACCCTTCTCACCCAGGCTCCTTCCTCCTGTTGAGTCACCTGTGAACACTCCCAGGGCAGCCCCTCCTGGAGCAGATGGGCTGAGGAAGCTGCCTTCCCTCAGGCCTCCCTGTTCTCCTTTGCTCATCCCTGGAGCCCAGTCTGTCTGAGCAGCAATGCCCATCAGACCCTGTCCCATGGACAGAGGGCAGCTTGCTTCCTGCCATGCCTGGCTTCTCTCCGTGCCCCATGGGGGCATCAGGTGGCACCGGCGCTCCGGGCTCCATGGGGTACACAGGGAGTGAGAACTGGTTCGGCTCCAGCTTCCTGTTTAGAAATCACCTTTGGTGTGCTGTGTCAGTCCCAGAACTCGCATTTACGCTGAACTGTGGCCCCAGGGTGCACCCCTGCTGGGTCCTACAGGTCCGTGTTGCTGCCTCAGGTAAGACGCCCAGACCGGCCTCGCCGTGGGAGTGTCTGAGGTGGAGACGTCACTGGTGTGAGAGGCATGAGATGGAGGCTTCTGGAAGTTTCCTTCCAAACTGGCATCTCCCAGCCCTGCTTAGTTTCAGCTGCTCTCGTGGGCTCTTATGGGGCAGCGTCGTCACCTCGCTAGACCCTCATGTGGTGACCGTGGGGCCCCAGCCCAGTAGAAATGCTCCTGGCAGCAAGAGCCTGCCCTCCACATGCAGAACGCCCGCAGCGGCGGCGGAGAGCAGCAAGGGCGAAGCAGGCTCTGCACCCACGGGCACATCCTGTGTTGTGTCGGCTGGCGGAGGCCACAGTTTCTCTGAGCGCACACACTGCTGTCTTCTCATCGCCGGGTACGTCCTGCTCCAGCACGGCCACGGCTGCCCTGAGAGACAGCAGATCCCACCTGTGCAGAGCGTCCAGGCCTGACCAGAGCCCCGCAGCCACTGCACCCTGACCTTGGCCCGGCCAGGGGCTGCCCAGATGGTGTGGCCCAGCACAGCCACCATCCTTGGGAAGCTCAGGCCACCTGTGCGGGCCCTCATTGGGCACTCGTGGGGCGCACTGCCCCTGGACTGCCTGCCCGCCCGTGGGTTCCCTGCAGGGAGCTGGACAGGCCTCGGTGCCACCGCTGTGTATGCAGTGGACCGATGTCTGGGGGGCAGTTCTAGGGGGGCAGTGGATGCATGTCTGGGGGGGCAGTGGACGCGTGTCCGGGGGGCAGTTCTAGGGGGGCAGTGGACGCGTGTCCGGGGGGCAGTGGACGCGTGTCCGGGGAGGCAGTGGACATGTGTCCGGGGACTGGACAGGCACCTACCTGCATCCAGTTTCCACTCGTGTCTACGGTTGGGATCAGCTGAGAAGCTCCTGAACAAGGTGACCCAGCCTCTCAAACGTGTGAAATGGGACAGGCCGCCAGGTTGCTGTTTCTGAAAAAACATGCAACTGTTCTATGCTCTGTGCTTTTCAGAAACACACATAACACGTAGGCCCTACGTAGGTTTTGCTTTTAACCAAGTAGTGACTCTGCCCCAGGCCGGGTGGAAGCCACGGCTCCCGCTGGAGCGCAGGGACGGGTGGGGGCTCCTGCGTCGGGGCAGAGCACGTTCCAAGTCCCTGGCTGTTTCCAGATGGTTGGGCACAGAGCTCACAGGTGCCCCTGTTGGCGGGGCCCGGGGGGCATGGGAGGGACTGCAGAATCCGCAGCTGCGGTGCCAGGATGGACCCGAAACTCAATCACGGCCAACAGGGAAACTTCACAGAGAATCAGATCCCAGTCACGACAGGTGCTGTATGATATTTTGGAACTAACTGAAAAACTCTTGAGACACTGGTGAAGGCCACGGAGATGTTGAGAGTCAGCAGACGCTGCACTTAGGGCAGGTGACTGAGCTTAGCCACAGGACCCCCAGGGTTCGTTCACTCCAAGTGGAATTCATTACTACTTCAGTGCAGTCCCAAACGACATGCCCATTTGGGGGTGGATTTGCAGCCTTATGGGTGGGCTGGGCCCCCTGAGAACCTGCAGGCCCAGAAGTGGGGGCTGTGCTTGCGTGTTCCATGCATCTGGAGGCTTGATAAGTCCATGTGTGTGTGGACTGCACTGCTGTGTGAGGGCAGGGCCGACAGCGGCCCTTGGCGATGCCCTTGGTGATGCAGCAAGGCCGCCGAGGAGCCCAGATGAGCTGTGCCATGGCCGGCAGTGGGTGGCAGAGACACAGCCAGCAGACCCCGGGCGGTGAGGGATGTGCTCACTGTGTGGGTGAAGGGCTCCGCCCTCAGGGCTAGTGGCACCGCCGTGTGGCCAGTCCCACTCCCAGACCCACAGAGGGCATGGGCAGGCCCCGGAAGCAGTGAGTCAGGGACAGTCACGCCCCACCACAGCAAGGACCCAAGGCCACGGCCTGAGCACCTGGACGCTCCCTGAGGTGGGAGCGGCATTGGTCAAAGCAGAGACACAGGTGCCACACCCCACACCCCAGAGCTGCCTGCACTTAGAGGCGTTTCGAGCTGGGCCAGGCCGGGTCGCCGGGCGGAGGAGCATCCTGGGACCAGATGACACTGGCTGCCATTTTGTTTCCATGGAGGTTTTCATCATACTTTAGACCATGTTCAAAAATACCAACAAAAACCAAAGCTCAACAATTTCATGCAGTAAAAGAAGGGCTGATGTGAAGATACTGTGCTATAACTAAAATTTAGTCTCACATAAAAATAAGCTTGATATAGAACTTAAATTGTGAATTTGGTTTTATATTCTAGAAACTTCCAGACGTGTATGTATTCCCCGGGTAGCGCTGGCCATTCTAAGGTGTATTGGGAGGGAATTGGCACAGCCGTCCCTTTGGGGCTGAGGACGGCCCAAGCCGACCGGCTGACCCTCTGCCTTCGTGTCTCCCCAGCTACCCGTACAGTGAGGATGCCCGCCAGGGTGAGCAGTACATGAATACCCGGTGCCCGGCCTGGTGTGACCGCATCCTCATGTCCCCGTCTGCCAAGGAGCTGGTGCTGAGGGTGAGTGTGTGTGCTGCCCCGGCCCTGGGTGCAGAGGGACGTGGAACGCTGGGTCTGGTCTGGCCCAGCCTGGTGACAGGGCCCTGGGGACGGGGGCACCCAGTCTGGGGAATGCTGCCAGGTTGGGCCCTGACCTCCTTCTGCCATGAGCTGCACCCCAGTGCTGGGTCACCTCCGAGCCAGCACCTGGGCTGGGGCAGCAGCAGATGGAGCCGAGTTCCCGGGCCGTGGGCAGGCGGCATCGTCGTGAGTTTGAAATATACACGGGTGGTCGGCAGGAAGCGTTTTCAAATCGTAGTTCATTGTATCCTTGGAAGTCAATGTGCTCTTGTGCATTCGAGCACTCACAGGCCGTGAGGCACAGTAGAAATGTCTGAGATTGTTTTGCTAAGTTGTAAATCAGAGCCAGATTGATTTGGAGCCTTGATAAGTTAAAAATGAATGGGCAGCATTTTCAGGAGATGACCTGGGCCTTGGGAAATTTTCAGATTTCCTGTGACTTTTTTTAAATAAATAATTTTGTTGTTGTTGTTTTTACAAAAAAGGAGATAGGGGCTTGCTTGCTACATTGGTCAGGCTGGTCTCAAACTCCTGAGCTCCAGCGTTCTGCCCACCTCAGCCTCGCAAAGTGCCCGGATTACAGGACTACAGGCGGGAGTCACTGCACCTGGCCGATCCTGTGATTTTTCGGTTCCCACATTTTAACATACAAGGAGTGTTTTCAGAAGAATCAATATCTGAATTGGTTTTGTCAACCCCATGAATGAAAATTAAATGGCGATAATAATGAAGCTTGCAGGCGTGAGTGGGAGCTGCAGCTGTGCCCAGCACCAGAGCCGGAGCCTCTGACCATGACGTGGGTGGGCAATTGGAAGGAGGCTGGCGACTTTGGTGGTACCACTGCCAGTCTGGTGGGTTCTGCCCACCCTCTCCACTGTCCTAGGCCCAGAGCAGGGACAGGAGCCCCTACTAACCCCGACCTCAACACCAGCTGCGTGAGGCTCCTGTTGTCCTGCACTGCCCGTCTGTGTCCCTGTGCCAGATGGTACCACACCCCAGGCACAACAAGCACCTGGGTGCAGGTGCGCCCTCAGCAGGGCAGGGACCCTCTGCAGCCCCGGTCCCTGAGATGCACCCTGCTGGCCTCCGCCACGCGGCTCTGTCTGCCGGGCCAGGTTCCTTACTGTTCCTTCCTACGTCCTGGAGCGCCCTGGGTGCAGCCTGCTCTCCGTCCCTGGCTGTGCTGTGAGGAGCCTGCCTGGCGCGGGCCTGGGCAGGGCCCCTTGGCCAGAAGTCCCTGGGGTCTGCAACCAGCCTGGCTCCTATGCAGCCCCACCTCTGGCCTGTGGGCAGGGCCTGTGCCCATCACTGAGGAAGCATGCTGGTCACAAGCCCAAAAGCCCAGGAGTGGGCTCAGCCCGGAGCCTGGCTGTGGACGCACCCCTGCCCCTCTAGCTGGGCTCACTGGTGGGCACGCCAGTCCCTCGGTGCCACATGGTGGGTGCTCCCACCTGCCGGCGCTGAGAACAGGTCGGGCATGTGGAGCCCAGGGCTGCCGGCAGGGCAAGAGCCTCCCAGGGACTCAGGCACAGATGCCATCCCCAGGAAAACGTCAGAGGTCACGCAAGTGCTGATTGGTGAGCAGTGCCCAAGGGCAGAAGGCTGGCAGGGCTGTGGCCTCTCCACATTGTGCTATCATTTCCAGGGCTCTGCCAGCTCACAGCATGGCAGCATTGAGCCCGTTTTCCAATCACTTACAGCCTCTTGGGTTCTCTGGACCCGGGACTTGTCAGTTTATGCTCAGGGTGGGGGACAGAGCCTCACAACGCACACCTGGCGGCCTTTGACAGCCCCCGCCTCCTGGGGCCAGAGTTGGGACAGGCTCTCCCCATGGGGCCACCCAATGGGCAGTGGGCGTGCAGGCCAAGCAGACGGGCACCGGGCGCACTCCGCAGCCTCATCCATCATGACACGCGCCGTCACCTCGTCACCAAGCTCCATTCTGCCTCCGCAGCCCTAAAACACCGAAGGGGGCTCGGGACGCAGGCGGCGTGCTTGTGAGCCTCGGTGACAAGTGTTCAGTGAGGTGTGCGGCGTGCTGCCTGTGCCCACCGTAATTTGTTTATCTGTCCAAAGATTATGCAGTTGAACATCCACAATTTTATGCTGCCTTTGTAAATTACCACGCTGCGTTTGATGAACGTTTCCCCACTTCCGTGGAGGCGCCGTTCCATCCGTGAGACGGGAAGGTGCTCATGCATGCGGTGCCGAAGCTTGTGTTTTCATCCCTTCTGGCAGGCGCCCATGCTGGAAACTAAATCTGACCTTAAGCTTCCCACTGCATTAAAGATAATTCAGTTTTAACTCGATAGTCTCAGATGCTTCAGCTGTGGATATAAAATTCCAGAGCCGAGTGCTGACCAGCAGCAAACCCCTTCCCGAGGCGCCCGGAATACAGGCACCCGCCGGGAAATGGACACACAGCCGTGAATTACTATGCACAGATTGCTTTGTGTAGTGGTATGGAATTCGGTGTCTGTTCTCATTTGAACACTGAGTTCTAAGCTCATAGAACAGTCAAAAACAAATGAAAGTGGGAAAAGTGGAACTAGATGGGCTGCCTCAGAGGGCACACCTGCACAGAAAGCTGGGGCTGCACCACTCCTGTGAACAGGGTCCCCTGCAATTCCCCCGAGAGCCCAGGAGCATGTCCGGGTGAGGGGAGCTTGGAAGCGGGGCCAGCATTCACGACTCCCCACATGACCCCTCCTAGAGGCAGATACCTCTTGGCTGAAAGGGCCAGGGCCAAGGTGCTAAGGTGCTGCCACACCACCAGAGCCTTTGGTCCGTGGGCTGGCCTCTCTCTCAGGGGCCAGGCAGGACGGGTGGCAGAGGCTGGGGAGGTACTTGCAGGGGCCAAAGCCCCCATCTCTCTGCCCCCACAAAACCCTGATGTTCCTGCTGGTCAGCTCCCCACTGGACCCAGGATGCCCCACCTCCCCACACCCACCCATCTCTGTTTCCCCTTTCCAGTCGGAGAGCGAGGAGAAGGTTGTCACCTATGACCACATTGGGCCCAACGTCTGCATGGGAGACCACAAGGTGATGTAGACTGAAGTCCAGGGGCCGGGCCGGGGGACCGGGGGAAGCTAGGAAGCCGGGGAGCTGGGGCCGGTGGGTGGGTGAGGGCTGGGACTGGCAGGCAGGTGGGTGGGGGTTGGCCAGTCTCTCCTCTCCTGCTCTCCTGTCTTCTTAGTCTGACTCTACAGAGTAGGCCAAGTTGGTCTGTTTTGATTTAATTTTAATAAAGTATCATAAGCTAGATAGGTAAGTAGGAAGAAGGCAGAAATGACTAGTTACAATAGAATAAAATACATCATTTTACTATTTGTAAAAAAACGTCCACAGCTGATCGTTTCTGACGGCTGTTTTGCAGCTGCAGTGTTTTAATGGCCTTCTTGAGGCAGGCTCACCATCAGCCGGGGAGCCAGGGTGAGGGCGCTCCCACCGCGTGCCAAGGGGCAGCACTGGCACAAATGGTTTATTCAGGCAACTGCACCTCGAGAGTGTGCACAGGAGACATATCAAATCTCATTTTCAGCCAAATAAATGAGTTAGCTTCTTCCACGATGGAGGCCCAGAGCTGTGAGCCCCAAACACACGCCAAGAAGGTGCTGGACCTGCCTGGTGCGGCAGAGCCGAGGATGGGAGAGCCTTCCTTCTCCGCTTCATTCGGGGCTATTTAGCCATTATTTTAGATCAGTTTTTCCATTAAGTTTTCACCTGGAAATAACACCTTCCTTGCAAAACCTCTCATGGCCGGCCTGGCTCCAGTTCCACATTCACGGGGCTCCCAACCCCTGCTCTGCGGCGGCTGCACACAAGGGCCGATCTGCCTCTGCTGGCCATCAGCTCCTCCCAGCCCGGTTCATGGCTGCCCTTGTGAGACGCAGGGTCCAGGGGTGAGACAGGAGATGGCGGCGTGTGCTGGGCTGTCCCACATGCGCCGTGCTGACACCCTCCTCTCTTCCTGCTGCAGCCCGTGTTCCTGGCCTTCCGAATCATGCCCGGGGCAGGTAAACCTCATGCCCGTGTGCACAAGTGTTGTGTCGTGCAGTGACGTGGTGGTAAATATGACTCCTCCCTCTAGTTCAGCTTTTACACAGCTTTTCCTGGTGCGTTTGTTCCTTTAACAAATTATGAATTCCATGCCAGGGAAGAGATGCCAGCGCCACGAGAGGACCCTTCGTGAGCCCTCCCTGTAGCCGTGTACTGAATACGCACCTTCAAAGCTGCATCGAGAACCCACCCAAGCGCCACCTGCTAGACGGCCAGCCCCACACTTCGCTTCAGCCTCCGGACCATTCCGGAACAGCCTCACATACCTCACTGTCTCGTCTGTTCATGTGACATTAAGTAGAAATATTGGTTTTTTAAAAATAAGTCACAGTCCTGTTGTCAAAACTCTAATAGACAGCAAAGAGGGTCTGTACCGTAGACTTCACAGTTTTCAGTTTTTAATGATTGTCAGTGGAGGGGCTTCTCCAGCACAGAGACCCCATCCCTCCCCATGTCCAGAGACCCCCCTCTGCCAGGTGGAGGTATGTCCAGGGGCTGGGGAAGCCGAGATGGGCGCTCCCTCTGCCGGCCGGCAGCGTGGCCCCCAGCATGGCGAAGGGGTCTGTCTCTGCCGATGCCCCTTCTGCGGCACTCTGCGCCGTGTCACATGGTTTTTGAATCACACTGCAGCTGCTTTCCATTTTTATATATATATAAATATATATAAATATATACTTTTTAAAAATAATTTATAAATCTTACCAAAACTTATGCTAAATGTACTTTCCAGTATGAATGCACAAGAGAGTCCCATCAGCAGGCAGCATCGGAGTCTAGGAGCTCAGCTGTGTGTCCATCAACACACACATTCGTAAAAAACACATGGCCTCGCCATCGTGGGTGAAATCGGCCCCACAGCACGTCTGCACTGGCGGGCGTTACTCCCGTGCCATTCTTCTGTGTAATATTAAGAACTGAATGTGAAGTTTATAGCTAGCCTGGGTGTACCTTTTAAGAATTTTGTAAACTGTTTGTCTGTCTTTTGTTACTGTTTTATGGTGCCAAGTATTCTACATTACAACAATAATATCATGGGAGAAATAGAAATAGCCTAGTTTGCTTCCAATAGAAATTGCTTTTAACATGGGCTGTATATAAAAATATTAAAGAGAAAACTGTACATTTCCTCATTGCTCCGCTACAAACAACCCATGTAATAACCTTGTCGCAAATATTTTTCTCCTAGCACTAAGTACAGCATTAAAAGGTGATTAGAGAGTCTGTTGATGAAACACAAATATACGTTTTATTGATTTTACTTTAGAACACTACAGAGTTCCTGGACCGGGTGAAGGCATTAGGTGGGTGTTTGTTTTTGGATAAATCACTACCATTGCAAGTGACTGCTGTCCGCTGCCGAATCCGCTCTTGGTGGAAGGACCGGTCCGTGTCCCTGCTGTGGTTGCCACTGTCCGCAGTTCAACACGGGTTCGCCCCACGGGTTTCAGCTGTTGGGCGTTCTGAGGGCCTTTAGAAGTGACTGGCCTGGTTCCTAAGCAATAAAATTGACCATGGTGAAAATAGTCCTGTGTTGCTTTGTTTTCCTTCCTTTCCCTTCTCCTGCCGCCTTTGAAATGCTAACTCAGGGGAGCGGCCTCCCCTATACCCTGTTACTTGAGATCAAGCTCATTAGAAATCCCGGCATTTCACTGTATCACACACTGTCACAAAACACCAAGCCGCTCCTTGAGAGGACAAAAACAGCCTTTTGGACCTTCTACTGTAATAAAGGATTTATTCCTCATCATTTTAAAACGGGATTATATAAATGCTTTGCCTTCCTCAAAACTTTCAAACTGGAAGCCCGTCTGCTCTGCGCTGAGCTGAGAGGCTGCCCACAGAAAAGCGCTGCTTCTGCCCTTCAGGTTGCCTCCTTGTGAAGGCTGCCAAGAGCCTAAAACAAAATGCGCCGAGTTGAAGCCGCTTATATTTCTCTTTAACGTTTCCGAAAATGTCTTCCAAGAGAAATCGTACCAGCGCAATGATATAATTATTTACATTTAATTTTTGAAAATTAAAACGCAACAGCCCCATTAAGATGCAGCGATGGGCAGACCCGGCCCCAGAGGCTGCGGGAGGGTGGACGGGTTTTGTCAGCCGGAGTCACAGCCCCGCGGAGCTGGCGGCTTTTCAGGGCAGCCCCTGGCCGGGCGCCGCGGGCCTCGCCCGGGGGCCTCCCGCTCCCTGACCCCGCGTGCCCCGTGGGAGGCCCCGCCGTTCCGCGGGCGGACTTATTTCGGATTTCTCTTTGCGATCCTAGTTTGGAAGAAACTGCTTCCCACCGCGGAAAGATCTAGCGGGATGGTGGCCGAAGGGCCACCGTGCAGCGGTTCAGACCCGGTTCCACCGGCTGAGCCCAGGGCGCGCCTGTGGGATCCTCCGCTTACGCGCAGAGGGATTTGGAAGTAATCAGAGCAAACCCCTCGGCCGGGCGGGAACCGGTGCCCGGCGGCGACCAGTACGCGGCCCCAAAGCGGGAAAAGCGAAGAAAGAAAAACGTCCCGCGGGGACTCGAGGCGGGTACGCGGCTCACCCGCCCTTTCGGGGCCCCCCAAGCGCGTCCGAATCCGCCCCGAGGCGAGGCGGGCCGGGCCGTACCTGCTGCTGCGTCCCCGGCTCTGTCCCGGGCTCCTGGCGGCTGTCGCTGCGGTTCCTTCCCGCGGGCTGGGCCCCTTCCCTGCGCCTTCGCCGCCTCCTCGCGCCTGCCCGGGGCCCGCAGCCTCCGCACCGGGAGCCCGGGGGACCCGAGGCCGCCGCGCGCCCGAAGTCGGGTCCCGCAGGGGCGAAGCCGCGGCCGGGGAGGGGCCGCCTCGCTCCGGGTTCGAGACGGAAGAAACACGCGGCGCAGGCTCCGGAGCGGCGGCTCCGACGGGGACCCGTTAAATAATTTATTGATGATACAAAGCGACTCGCGCCCACCGGGGCCGCCCCCGGATTCTGCAAAAATAGACTCGCCCCCACCCCGCGCGTCCTCACAAGGCGTCCCCCGCGCCGCCGCCGCACGGGCTGACCAGCGCCAAGTTCGAGGGTTTGTGCTTCTTGAGCAGCCGCGTGATCTTCTCGTCGTCCGAGTTGGGGTCCAGGGGCCGGTTGTATTCGTCGTCGTCCTCCGCGTCCGAGCCGCCCACCTTCAGCTTCTCGGCGTCGGAGTCCTGCTTCTTCTTGGCCGACGCCATCTCCGCCGCGTGCCGCTTGCGCCACTTGGTCCGGCGGTTCTGGAACCAGACCTGGGGGCGGACGGGGCGGTCAGGCGGCCGCGGGGCCCGGGGCTGGCGCTGGGGCTGTGGCCGTTCGCAGGACGCGGGCCCCCGGCTCTGCTCTCCCGGGCCCCGCCGCGCTCACCTTCACCTGGCTCTCGGTCATGCCCAGCGAGTAGGCGAGACGCGCGCGCTCCGGGCCCGCCAGGTACTTGGTTTGCTCGAAGGTTTTCTCCAGCGCGAAGATCTGCTGGCCCGAGAAGGTCGGGCGCGAGTGCTTCTTCTTCCCGTCCTTGTCCAGGACGCCGCCGGCTGGGGCTGCAGGGGAGGGGAGGGGAGGGGGTTCAGCGGCCGGCGGGGTCCCCTCCGCGCCCTCCCGCCCCGCACCCCCCGCGCGGGCCACTCACCCGGGCCGGCCAGACGCGGGTCCCTCCACGGCGCGCCCTGCACCACGCCGGGCCAGAAGATGGGCGGGCGCCCGGGCAGCTCGGCCAGGGGCTTGGGGTAGCCGCGCGCCACGGCGGCCGCGGGTCCAAAGTAGACGCCGGCGGACGAGGCGAGCCCGTTGAGCCGGGGCAGCCCCCCTAGGAGGCCCCCGCCCGCCGCGCCCACGGGCCGGCCCAGGATGTCGCTGATGCCGTGCGGGGTCCCGAGCGGGAGCTGCGCGCCCAGGCCCCCCAGCGCGGGCGCCTTGAAGCCGGCCGGACCCTGCAGCGCGTAGGGGAACAGCGACGTCTTCATCTCGGCCATGTTGTGCAGCGCGGCCAGCGGGGCACTGCTCAGCACGAACGCGCCCGGGTGGTTAGTGTCCATGGGCGCCGCCGCCGCCGGCCCGGGCTCCCATCCGGGCCCCGCCGCCGCCGCCCCTGCCCGCCGGCCCGGGAAGTTTGCGCGCGCCCAGGCGGGCGTCGGCTGCAGCCCCGGGGCCGGGGCGGGGGGGCGGGCGGGCAGCTCCGGCGTGGGAGCAGGCGGGCTCCGGCGTGGGGCGGGCGGGCGGTGGCGGCGGCGGCTCCGGGGCCGGTCGGAGCGGCGCCGCGCGGGACGGACGCGCTGATAACGGGGGCCCCCGGGGCGCGGCGCGCGCGCTGATTGGCTGCGGACCCTGCGGTCCGGCCATTGGCCAGCGCCCCCCCCCCGCCCGCGCGCCCCCGCCGGCCGCGCACTCCATGAAGGGCCCATTAGCGCGGCAGGTGCCTCCCGGGCTGTAAATTCGCCCCCTGATTTATCTCCCCGGGGACGAAATAAATCCCGCTCGGATGGGAGTTTAGTTAGGCAAAGGTTTTCATGCGAAATCAGGAAAAAATACGAGAACATATTTTATTAACAGAAAGAATGCAGATTTGAGGACCCGCCCGCGCGCTCCGAGTGCCCCGCTGGGGAAGAGCCCCGGCCCGCGCCCGAGTCGCGACTGCTCCGCCGCCCGGGGCTGCGGTGGGTGTGGGCGGCCGCTGACGCTGGCGGGGAACGCGCTCCCGGCGTGTCGGGGCCACAGGAGGGCGGAGGGCACGGGCCTCGGAGTCCACGGAATCCACGGGCCTCACGGCCGGGCGAGGCCCGCAGGGAGCTGCCTCTGGTTTCGCCGACACGCGGCCGGCGCGGTGGAGGAGTGAGGCCGGCTGGAGCGGGGCGGGGAGGCGGGTCCCGGGACCACACGCACTGCCCGGCGCTTGCCCGCTGGGGGTCCCCCAGGATGTGACCCGGGCCCACGACTTCGCCCACGGGCCGCCTCTCGCGAATCCCCGGCCGGGAGAACAGAGACCAGGGCGGCCTCAGCGCGGAAGACCAGTCCAGGGCCCGAACGTGGGTGCGGGTTGGGCGCGCAGCGGCAGAAACGCGGCCTTAGACGCGCGCGCGAAGCCTGTGACCCCCCGCCCCACTCCCCCGGCACCGGGAGCCGCTCGCTCATCCCGCAGACCGGACGGTGAGATGACTCCGAGCCCCGCGCAAGGCGGCCGCGAGCAAACCCTCCGACCTCTGGGGTGGCGTCTCGTATTAATTTAGGAACACGGGGCGGCTGTGATTGTGACCCACGGTCCGTGGGGAGCCCCGAGTGTGTGCGCAGGGACCGCCGCTGCGTGGCCTCTTTCGGGCCTGGGGGAGTTTCCTTCGCAACGACTTTCCTGTTTCGCCCCGGCCGCCAGGGGGTCGGTGCCGCGGAGGAAGGCGGCGCCCAGGGCTCGGGCCCGGGGTCTCACGTCCGCCCCCTCCCGCCCTGCTCCAGAGTCCGTTTTCGTTTTGTGCAGGTCGAGGCGGGGACTTGGCGCCGTCGGCCGCTCCTGGGTGGTGGCTTGGAAAACTCCGGGGCAGTGGTGCGGCCGCCGCTGCCTCTGCTGTGCGCGCTCGGGGCTGCCCCGGCGGCTTCGCCTCCGCTGAGGTGCAGCCCCGCGTTCACGGAGGGTTCGCTTCCCCGTCGGGTCCGCACTGGATTGGGACTGGAATTCGATTGGGCGCGGCTGCCCCGCCAGTGATCGGCCCCCGCGGAGCCTGGTCCGGGGACCCCCAGCGCCCGCCCGGCCCCGAGACCCGCCCCGGCCGGTCCCGCGCCCCGCTGCCTCGGAGCCTCGGAGGAAACAGGAGGAAGGGCCCTCCGGGGTCGGGTTCGGGCCCCTCCCAGCACCCCAAGGCGACGGCGCCCGCGGCACAAGGCTCGGGCTCTGAGCTGAGACGCGGGAACTGCGGGCGGGCGGGGAGGGGGCAGGGCGGAGTGCGCGGGGCGAGGGCTGCTGTGGCCCTGGGACCCCTACTCCACGCGGCCGAGCAGACCCTGGGCGGGCCGGGAGGGGCGCGGGTCGCCCGAACTGAGGCCGGGGAGGAGCACGCGGGCAGGATGGCGGGAGGAAGCCGCGCTGCGGACCGGCTCCGGCTCCTCTCACACCCCGGAGGGGCGGGGCGGGGGGCATCGTTAGCGCTGTTTTATGGCTGAGGAAACACGGACCTGGAGGCGTTGCGCTGCGGCCCGGCGGCCCTGGGTCTGTCTGCGCCCCCGGGTCCTCCCTGGGCTGCCGCGGGAACGCGTGGGGTCGCGGGTGGGGCTGGCGTGTCACTGGCTGCGGAGCGTGCGGCTCTCCAGGGCCCAGGGGCGCGGGATGGGGTCCAGGGTGAGTTGGGGGCGCAGAGGAGCCGGGTAAGGGGGGTCCCTCTCCCACGTTTTTCTAAGCCGTGGGCATCTTGGCGCGCTCTGCAGGTGCCGCGTCCTACCCGGCTCCCCGGTCTGCGCCCCACGCGCTCTCCCACCCTCCTCCCCCAGGGGCTGCGGGCGGGTCCGGTGGCTTCAACTGCGCTTCCCGGCGCGCACTCCGGGCCCCGCCTCTTCTCCAGCTCCCGCC